TGGGTGCTGGCTGTTCGACTTCCACCCTATCTAGCGGTCCCCTTCTGAAACCAAGGTCGAGTCACACATCTACAGCAAGTGGAAGGATCAACACTCGCCTGGGCAATTCATAGTTCGCCAACTTCAAACAAGTGCTCCCCACGCAAGCAACCGGCATCACGTCGCACGCCAAAACCTCTTGTGAACCAACTAAGTGGGCAAAGGAGTAGCAACAGGGTTGCCGAAAAAAAACGGCACCGAGAAACTTGGTCCCGTGTAAAAAACTTGGGAAGCAGGACCAGTTACCCTCCAATTCTCCAATTCACATGCAACCTGACGTTCGGGGGTTCCTGGTTTGGACCATTTTCCTAAAGGGACCCTCGAACGTCAGGTCATCTCTACTCTTGGTATGGTAGCGAAAAACTTTGCAGACCCCCAGTAAAAATGAACAGAACCAAAAAACAAAAAAGAATGCGAAGAACAGTGAAGACGTTCCATGTTAATTGGTGGGAAAATAGTTCCCCTTGGCCACTTGGCTCGAACCAACCGACCTGAGCTGCCGCACGCGCTCCGCCGTCTGCGGCGTGCTGGGCGTCCCGTTGACGCTGCTGCGGCGACGCCTGCTAAGCGTCGAAGCGTCGGGTCGAAGCCATCTACTGGTGCAATGGGCAGGGAATGAGACGTGGAATGACCCTTACTAGGTCCTCCAGTACAGAGGTTAGAATAAGGGTACCAGCTTTTTTGTGTCTATTTTAGTACGGGAACCCTCCCAAAAAAAAGGTAAAAGGGCACTACTGGGGGACCTAGCTTATAAAATCATCCAACTTGTGGTTTCCTTTGAGGGGACCCCTGGGTTCATTCCCTCATTCCCTCCCCATTCTCTTCAGGGATCCTTCTCTTCAAAAAGTTGGCCAAACCCATAGAAAAAGGTGGTTTTTCTGAAGAAGAGAATGGAGAATCAAACCTTAGATCTATGAATTTAGTAGGGAACCACCTCAAAAGTGGCTGGCGGACATGTGTTCCCACCTACATGATGTCCACCAAAGGGTCCCAAATTAACATGTATACCCATAAACCCCTGGTTGGTTTTGATCGGGGGTGTCCCCTTATACTGGGGGTTTATCGCTTTAGGGAACACCCCTCTCAAACAAAGATAGGTGTGTCAATCCGGGGTCGACATTAGCAGGAGATGACTCAAACTTGGTAAGATTGACAGTCTAGCTTTTAGGCCTTGAATCACCAACATGTACGTTGTAATCTCTCTTTTGGTCGGCTGAGGGACTGCTTCAGAATCGCCCTGAATACGTAAGCCCGTACATTTCACTTTGCCGACTAGATATGCCGGAGGTTTCAACCTACGGGGTACATCACAGTTTATAATTTGGCAACTGCCCCATTGCCGCAGCCTCAGCCCAGTGACACAGTTGACTCTCCATCTGGCCCTTTACCGTCAAAGTGACCCTCTGGGTGGTACAAAGAATCAACCTCATTTTCTGACTTGGTCAATGCTCAACCCCAAATCTGGACCTAAAATGTTTGTCGTTCCCACCATCATCCGTGCACAGTGTGACAATGTGTGGTATGTGCGCTCTTTCCAATTAGACATTCCCCGGAAGGTAATCAATCTTGCAAAACCCTCCGATCGTCAGCTTCCATCGTCAACTTCCATTGTTGGGAAGAGAACATGTTTCCAAAGGTTGCCCCAGCACTGAAAGCCCACCGCAGCTTCTGATTCAGAAGCTACCGTCTTTCCGATCATGGACGTACTCACCTTTCATGGACCAAAAAGGTGATGTTTAAAACCACCAAAAAGGCAAATATAGGGAACCCTGAAGGGAGGGTTGAAACCCTCTGGTGTGCGATCCGCTCTGTGTTGCAAAATGAGGAGCGATTCGAATCGCAACCACTTGCCATCCGTCCAACACCCGGAACCAGTCAAATATTTAGCCTGGGCTGTTCTGACATCCCTGCTCAAAGGTCAAGTTTTCGTGGGGCTCAATGGAAACCCAAGCACTCCCAGGTTTTCTTATTTCTTCCACCTTGGAGAAAAACGCAGAGAACTCCCCACAACCCCACATCCCCCCTTCCCCCCCCCCCTTCCCCTTCCCCCCCCCCTTCCCCTTCCCCCCCCTTCCCTCCCCTTCCGCCCCCACGCCCCCCCGTTTTCGGTGCGACGACTTCGATTCCACGTCGCCTCACGGCCACCGAGGTCTTCTCCAGCGACAAGCGCCGGAAGGCCACCTGCGCGAGAAACTCCGGGCTGTTGGGCGCCGGAACTCGGGTGGTGCCCCGCCCCCCCCCCCCCGGAAAAAAAATACACACATATATATATATATATAAAGCAGGAAAACCTTGGTACTGGGGGGGGTCCTACCATATATATATATATATATATATATGTATATACATACATAAATATTAATTTATATGTAAAAAAAAAGAAGAAAAACATGTCTGTTGCCGCGCCGCGAACCCCCCACCCACCCACCCACCCACCCAAAAACAAATACCCATGCTGGTTTCCCGCGCGGCCTTCAAGAAGCACTGGTATCTCCAACACCCCCAGAAGACTTTTCCTGAAACCCTCCCCCAAAGCTGCTCTGAACCACTCCCAAGCAGCTCCGGACCTTGTTTGGACAGAGACCCCAAAGCTGTCAGCGCCTCCCCTGCCCTTTTTACGCCAAAGGTGTTTCTGGGGACCTCCCGGTGATGGGTGAGCTCTCGTCACAGCCACGAACAGCTCAGTGGCATTGACATCCGTGTCTTTGCGCCAAAGACTTCTCGCACCGGCGGAGATCTTGGTCGCGTCATGCGCTGGATGAACCAGTGGCTCTGCTCAGAGCATGGTTGCAACTCATGTCCAAGTTAAACTACATATCTACAATTGTAACATAGGAACAATATAAACAGAATCATAATCTGGTGTAGTGAGGAAAGGACGCTAGGCCAAACGAAATAGGCAAATAAGAAATAACATATGTCCAAAAACAATGTGCAAGTAAATAATACCCTCTGGGAAAAGTTTTGTCATTCCTCTCTCGTCTCCGTTTGCACTCATTCACTCTCCAGCATTCTCAACTGGTGGTGGCGCGGTCAGTCCCGAGGTAGAAGTAGTGCTCCAGGCTCGTCGCCGCCTCGTCGGGCTTGCCGCCGAGGGCCGTGAAGGCCGCCATGTCCTCCTGCCAGCGCGCGTTCGCCGGCTCGCGGGCCATGGCCGCGCAGCACTGCTCGAAGGACTCCGCCTCGAAGTAGCCGACGGCGAAGCCGTCGGGGCGCAGGAACAGGGAGTAGTTGTGCCAGCCGCACCGCAGCAGCGCCTCCTGCATCTCCGGCCACACGGCCGCGTGGCGCGCCTTGTACTCGTCGAGCCGCTCCGGGTTGAACCGCATCTCGAAGCAGACGCGCCGGCGCCCCGACGCCGTGAGGCCGCCGCCGCCGGTGAACTGCTGAGGTGTTCGTCGTCGTCGCTGTTGGAAGGCTGCCCAAACTGCTGCTGCACCGATGGCAGCACCGCAGGCAGCACCGCAGAGGAAGGATTGGTTTGGTGACATGGGGGGAGGAGCTATACGAATGAAGGGCGAACGGATGGAAAGATTTGGGTAACGTCGGGAGGTTCTTGATTGGCGGGTAACTCCTATCACGGAATCTTCAATCCTCACATGTCACTCAATCTATTCTATCGATCCAGGAACTCGCCTGCCAGATGTGGAAACGACTAATTGCCCCTAGGCCTTGAGCTTGAACCGTGTCTGTCACACCTTGCCGCTCAGAGCACACAGGTACATGGGACCAGTCCCAAACCATGTTAACCCCGGATTCATAAACCCCTGGTTGATTTTCATCGGGGGGTGTCCCCTCTTGGTGGGGATTCAGACCACTATTGGAGGGAACGCCCCCCTACTGGGACGGGTTCTACTTAGATCCTGGGTCAACATTACACCTGTCCCAACCAAATCTCATCGGTTTGAGGTGCCGCTGAAGCTGGGAGTTCGCCGCGTTTTTTGTTCGTAAACTTCCGGATCACAGGTTGCGTAGCCCGGCCGCATAGATCTCTTCAACATTCCTTCTGGTCTACGGGCCGAAAATATGGAATTGGGTTGCGGGATACACCGAATTTATTTCAAGCATTTCAGAGGAAATCGCGGGAACAATGGTTGTAGAGTTTCTAATACCTCCCAAGTCAACCAAGCATTTCGAAGGGTCCTAACTTTCTAAGGGCTTCAATTTGTGGGAACCCCCCCCCCCCCGTGTTGACCTACCCCAAGTTGTTCTGTTTCGTGAGACCGCACGAAGGTTAAAAACGGCTATGCAAGGCACCACAAGACATGGACGCTTACTGGCTCAAACCCCAAGAATTGAAAAGTTGCACTCCTCGTTTCTCGGCACGACCCAGCCACCGCAAAGCAAAGAAAACAGGCATCCTTACATTATACACCTGAACATTGCAACTGGTAAATGGTGGTTTCCAACTTTATTTTGGTGGAAAAAGCAACATGTTTCAAATGGTTGCAACATGTATATTTTAAGGAGCCCTGGACAATGAACACACAATTCCGAACTTGTGAGCGAGGTAGAAAAGGGCCATGCCTACCAGACAAGCCCAAATAGACCCCACGGCCCGTGGCGAAGCTCTGGCCTCTTCGCCCTCCGCGGTCTTCAGCCGCTCCACGCACCTCTTAGCCCGCTTCTTCGAAGGTTCGAGGGGCGCGGATTGGTTCCTCCACAAAACCGGGCTGTCCGTTTTCGGATCCCCCACTCAAAGTGACGAACTTTAGTGGGTCAAATTCGGAAATCCCCACAAAAAAAAGGCGAGAATTTGCCAAGGAACCGGATGGCCTTCGGGAGCCACCAGCAAAAAACCGAAGGTCACCTTCAGCCAAGCCGTGTGAAGGCCAAAGGGCTGCCTGGCGGAACCAAAGCCACGTCTTCCATGGCATGCGCGGGGAAACAATCCTGGAGATACCGGAATGGGCCATTATGGGCCGTTCCCCGGACCCCTTTTTATCGCAATCAAGGGAATTCCCTGGACCGCAGCAAGTGACCTAAACCCAAGCATTTTCCACCTGCATCTTGGTTTGTAGAAAAATGTCCACGAGGAACACCGCCGTTCAGCTGACCAACAGACAACCGGCGAAAGGAACGATTTCGGTCGCCAAGGGATCGGCTCAAAGCCGAAGTCGCCGGCCATCTCGAAGACGGCATCTTGCCTGCCACGGTGTCGCATCGCCAGCGAGCGGGTGGCAATTGCTGGACCCCGAGGATTCCAACTTGATGTTAACTTGACGAGCAAAAAAAATGAAGTTTGGCAGTGAAGTGAAAACCACCAAAAAGAGATACCCCTTTAAAAAACAGACACACCCGGATTGGATTGGTCCATAACTGTTCTGAGAATGGCTCACAGGAGCCCTTGAAAAGGTCCAATTGGAACCTGAACTCGTGCTTGGCGCATTTGGACGTGGTCAAACGCCGGAGGGAAATTGCATAGTCCCCTGGTGCTACCCCCTGTCCACGTTGCAACATGAACCCACCAGAGAATTGGTTTTTGCATAAGGGAAAATATGCTAATGCATTCGGCGACTTGCTGCTGGTGATTTGGCGATGGGGTAAGTCCGACTTTTCATAAAATCCTATGTCGCAGTGGTGATTCGGGCTTCGTTGCCCAAGCTGAGTACGGTCAGGACGGATTGAAGCTACTAGGGATGGAATGTGAGCAACTGACAAAATGATTGGTAGTCTTCTGTTGGTCGGGGTAGGAAATGGGGGGACAACCAAAACTTCCCACCAAACTTAATGTGGGGGGACAGCCAAATGTCATCCTGGAACGCGTGGTCACAGTTCAGTTCCCCTAGGAGGGATGAATCATCCGAGTTGTCTTCTTGCCTAAAAAACAAAACTTCAATCCAAAGCAACCGAGCGTGTTTATCACTGCATGTCTGCCGTCATGTGCGCCGTCGACACTCCGAAGTGGACCGAACAGACTCCATGCGACTAATGTGCCAGTATGGTTGGGTAGGTGTGATATCTCTTATCGAGGGCTACACTTGCCTCGTCATGCTTCCGTGGTAGGTCAGCGCACAACTTTGTGCACAAAGCAGCCCCACCAAAACGGAGCAGAACCAAAACAGCGAAGATTTCAAATCCTGCCAAGCACACAGATTCCACAAAAAGCAATAGCAGCCAAAGAACAAGCAAGGCGCTTGCTTCAGTGCGTCGCTTGATCCTCTTCCGCACTTCCATGCTTAAAGCCAGCTGGCCAGTCGCATGGCGTTCTGCCAACACCCTCCAATCATCCGGATGTTTTTCCGGCAATTTGGGGGGGGGGGGGGGCGACTTCATCGTGGAAAATACACCTTTCTGTAGTACCAAATGGGACTCCTATGACTAGTTTGTCACTTTCATTCAAGAGGATAGTATCGTGGAAGGTGGCCCTGAAAACCCAGTTACCACGTTACCACGACCAGAAGTCCAAGGCTGTCCTTTTGCTGCATTCTGTTGGGAGATTGGCAAAAGAAGGGATCAACTGATGGCGCAACCATCTGCTTTGCCGGCATCTTGAGATCTGGGAAACACCAAAACAGCCCCTGTCAATGGCTTCTGAACTGTCTGGCGTCACACACACATCTATAGTTCTGCTTCCTTCTTCTGCTACTGAAACTTCAATCCTGCTCGTTTCAAGGGTTTGCTTAAGTTCCCACAAACGCAAGGATACTTCTGCAGCCCAGCGCCTTCACGCTACGGTTCGGCAGCTGCTTTTCGTCACAAGGCCCCATAGTGAAGCAAACGCCGCACCCGACCCTAAGAAACCTAGCGCAATGTTCCGCGGCGTGCGCCTCAAACGGTTTGACGCAAAGGGTGTTTTCGCTTGCTTGCAAACATAGGCGGATGACGAACTCCCTCCGCCCTGGTGTTTCAGGTACTAGTTTTGACCCTGGAGCACCAAACCCTCTACATATTTCATCCAATCGAGTTCCCAATCCGGGAAAATCCCAACGGCACAGTGCGCTCCCTTCATAGTGGCGGGGCTTGCAGTCAAGCCGCTGGCGCTGCTGGGGCGGCAACTTCATGCGGATGAGCTCGCCTCTCCGACAACGAAAAAGGGCGCGGCAGGTGGAAAAAATGGCCCTGGATACAGTTTAGTGGGATTCGAATCCATCCACACGACTACATCATTTCAAGACCAAGTGAATAAATACCTGTTGACCTTTCAGGGTTCAACGTCAACTTGAGATTCATCTGAAGAATTGCAGAGATCTGGAGAGGGAAACTCGCTTGTGGAGAAATAGTTCATGTTCAATGGGCAATTGGGATCTGGGTGCCAAACAGGGCAAAGTGACATTTAAGAAACTGGGTTTCTCATAAACTAGCATACACCTGAACATTGCAACTGGTAAATGGTGGTTTCAACTTTATTTTGGTGTTGAAAAAGCCACATGATTCAAATGGTTGCAAAATGGAGATCTTTTAAGGAGCCCTGTAAAATGGCCACGGTTTCCTCCGCGAGCGCCTGCTTCCTCGGTGCCCAGCAGCTGCTCCCGGAGCCTCTGCAGCTGCGAGGTCATGTTCTCCACCACCGCCTCCCTGGCACTTTGTTGACCCCGGACACCCACGGGTCTCCCCAAAAACCAACTGGGAGTTGAGGAAAAAAAATGGTTAGATTGGGGTTGGTACCCTCCGACTAACATGGCACCTCACAGAGGTTTTTTTTCAAGTGCAAATTGATCTTCCAGGTACCCTGCAACAGCTGCGGGTTGGAAATTCTTTGTTGCTGGCTCGAAGCATTTGGATCGCTCGGCCACCAGTTCAGTTCTCCACCCCCAAAACCACTGGTGACCCCACACTGTGGATGGACGAAATCCATGCAACGCACCACCCAAGAGACCCTAGAATGATGCGATTCCCCTCTAAATACCAACCATTGCAATGGTTTCAAGTTTCAACTATGATTTCAAAGTGGTGCAAGATTTCATCCATCCACAGTATCAATCCACCCCAGCCCCGGCAAAAGTGGCCTGATTCCAACCAGTATCACCCAGCGAAAAGCACCACCATTTTGTTTGTTGATTCATAGGGGGTTAACATTACCCCCAGATGGGTTTGATGATTTTTGGAACCACAAAGTCACTATCTCAAGAACCGGTGGCTTGGCGGTAGTAGAAACCCCAACCACTACTCAAAGACATGCGAAACCAAATGAAAGACCAAAAAGCATAAGCAAGGAGCAAACCAAAACACAAAACAAGGACAAAATGGTCCACACTTCCTCCGCTCCCCTGAAACTTAACATAGACCCCTTAAAGGGAGTCCCCCAAAAGGAGAATACTTCCCTTTCAAACCGTGGAAGTTCACCGTTTCGAGATGGATGCTGACAAAGAGCCACGAATGTAAGCTTGAAAGGCAGCCTGACGGTCTGGGTGAAGGGGCAGATTCTCGAAACGGGAGGTGGAGAATGCATCAACAGCCCTCGCTGTTTTCGTACATGGCTGGAGGGACATAGAGGGTTTGGCGCCTCGATTCGAGGCCTGGATTTAGGAACCTACAACATGAACAGAGGTGCATTGGAGGCCCCGCAGGAGTTCTTTGCGACGTGATGGCGTGATGGGTCTTCAGATTTCTCTCAAAGCGCCATACCTCCAAAGCCCAAACCTGAAACTGCAGTTGATGCTCGAAGCCGAGATTTGCCAAACCTCGGCTGCTTTCAATAGATTTAGCCGGTTCCGGGCAAAATCTATCTCCGTGTCGGGGGAGGTCCAAAACGCATTTTCTGACAATGCCCTTGAAACAATGGGATTGCACAAATTACAATCATTCACAGCGCAACTGGAAGAAGAAAAACATCCCCACAGCGCTTCCAGGCAAGCCATATCCTGCTTTGTGCCGACGCATGGTGAACGTGAGCGAGCCCCTGGAAGGCTTACGAAAGTGGGTACCTCCCTGGGTGAGGTATATCAAAAGAGAGTGCCAGTGGTGTACGGTCATTTCTCTTCTGTGCACCGGGTGAACATGAGCTTAGCTCGTACTCCAGGACAACTTCGGGCCAATCTGGAGGATCCTACTACTCAGAAATCCCCTAAAATTGATATTGTTTCTCTCAAAAGGGTTGAACCATTCTTGATTTGTTCGGTCCAAACTTTCATCCGCAGGGTTGTGAGATCACTCGGGGTTTATCCAACCACTTCTGTGATACAAGTTGGACTCTCCCCCTTATAGAAGGTTTGTCTTTGGCTTCGGCCCATTTCGTTGTGTCGCAGATTCGTGGATTCCATTTCAACCACAGCCCTGCCCCTGGCCTCATTATCTTACTGTAATCAAGGTCACCCCCTAAGTGGTGGGTTAAAGGGACGCAACCACATGCTCTGACTTTGACAACCCCCAGAAACAGTTTTAAAATAATGACCCCAGTGTCCCTCCGAGGTGGAAAAAGCGAGTCTTCCCACGTGCCTCTGCTTCCTGACGCCCTCCTCTGAGACATTCAACCCCAACTCCGCGGCCATCTTGTGCAGCGCCAGCCTCTGCTCCTCCTTCGATGTGTCTCGCTAAAGCGCGCATGGCCTACGCGGACCCCATGTGGGTGTGGCTCAAAATGAAAAAAGCTGGGGGAAACCGCCGGTAGTCTTTGTTTCCACCGCCGGTAGTCTTTGGTTCCATTTGGCTGTGGCTCAAAAAACCGGAATTCCAAAATGGCTTGCCCTGGTAAGTGGAAACATGGACCAAAACCTGCGGTTTGCCCCTCCTGTTTAATTTTGAGCCACACCCATTTGCCACTTTACCATGTTTTTGCGCCACAGCCATATTAATCAACTGGCCGCCATCCCTACTACTTTTGCAAAACTCCCTTGCTGTCGAAGATCGCCCTAACCCCCCCCCCCCCCCCGCCCCCCCCATGAAAAACTGTACTACAATCAGGGCTTGCCTCTTCAGGCAAGTACTAGAGAACATTCTCTCAAAAGCGTTTGAAAAAGTAAAAAAAAAATGAAGGGGTCAAATTGCGAACCCTAACTACAATATCTGTGGGACAATGCACGGAATCCCGCGTGTGCAATGTCGATATGTGAGTCAAATCCACGTGAGTTCATGCATGCAATGCCGGTATCTTGGGCAAAGTCCGCATGGTGTCAAGCTTGCAATGTCAACATCTGAGAAGCATCACAAATCCATGCAACGGGAATGTCAACATCGGAACATTTGCAGGTCGACATCTTGTGCAAACAACTTGGCCCCGGATTAATCAGCCTACTAGGGTGGTTCCCGAAACGTGCAGTCCCTCTTAAAAGGTACACTGGCTAATCCTGGGTGCTCACAACTCAAATCCCAGCGCCAAGTTCAATCCCCACATGTCCCGTACCACAAGAGCGGTTTGCGCTTGGTGTACCTGCGTGATGGTTGGGCGATGCCGCAAACCAGAGCTTGAGTGTTTGGATACCATTTCACCCTCATGTTCGAGGAAAGTAAAGAGACCCTGTCAGTTAGTGCAAAACCCCTTTTGAGGGTCACATGATTGTGCCCGAAAGGGAGATGGTTCTTTAAGCAACAACAAGAGGTTTTTGCTTCTGGACTGAGCTCGCGGCGGTCTTGTTGTGCAACGCGATCCTTGGCTTCGAAGGCTTAAACCCCATGGGGCGCAATTGAATCAAGTCCCGGCCGCCTGCGGAGATCGAACATAACATAACATTCTGCTGCAAATCGGTTCATGGAACCACTGCAAATCCTCTTTCGGAAGAAAATAAACTTGTGATTACATGTACACAGAATGCGAAGTCTCGTGATCCTGCAACTCAGACACCTCTCCTGTGCTGGCAACTGCCGGCAGTTGAAACCCTTCCCAGAGCTGCTGCCGATCCCTGTGGCGTCCGACCCCCTTCGGTTCCAAAGGACGTCCTTTGGGCGCACGCAACTGACTGAATTGGCCCCACAAACCCCCGGCAAAAGGGAAATCCGGCCCCTGGGAAAGGGAAAGGAAACGTCGACCAATTGCATAGTTGCCTGCCCAGATGTGGTGGTCTAAACCATAGGTGCATCTTGCTGGTCAACTCTCAATTCCAGCCCAGGCAGGGCCAAGAGTCCAAACTCCCTACCTTTCAGGCGGGGTCGCGGTTGCGCAACCCAGGTCAGCAACCATCGGCCCCGGAGATCAACCCGAACCCACAAAGCCGACACGCCGACACGCCGACACCCGGCCTCCTGCTCTCGCCCACAGGCACTTCGAGGAGTTCGTGCCTGAGTTGCTTTTGGAACTCCTGGAGGTTGTAGACCTGCGCTCGTCCAAATGCGGTTCCGTTGGAATTGTTTTCTGGCGGTCCTTTTCGTGTCCCCGAGAACCAACTCCAAACAAGGGGACCCTCGAAGAAAAAACAAAAGACACACACCCGCACGTGCACGTCGCACGTCGCACGTCGCACGTCGCACACGCCACGCGCACGTCGCACGGGGCACGTTGCACAGCACAAACACAAACAACAATCACAAACAACACACACAAACAACAAACACAAACACGAGCAACAAACACAAACACAAACACAAACGCAAACACACACACACACACACAAAAACAAACACATGGAGCTGCACAAGCTGCTTGTTCAAGAGGCTGTCAAACGACAACCAGAAGCCACTTCCATGTCGCTTAAGTTCATTTCCAGTCACCTTGACCCGACTTTAACCGCGAGACCTTTTTGTTGTACTCATGGCATAGGGAGACCACATGAAGATCAGTCTTGGGCATTGAGCTCCCAGACCTGTAGTTGAACTCCGGGTTTCGTGGATTGGCTAAACAGAGTAACCATCTGAGTCACAATCAAAACCCGGTATTAATATGGTCTACCCAGAACCATGTAAAGAATCAAGAAGGCCGCAACTATTTCTGGCTGGAACTGCCCCTTACTAACCTTCGTCTAACCGGGTTTTGATTGTGGCGCATCTGTGATTTAATTACCACTAAAATGGTCTTACAAAAAAGAACTCGAAAAGTCCAGACACTCAGGAAGTGAGTGAATCTACAAATAACCCGCCTAGGAAAAGGACCCTGGAGGTGCTGTTGGCCATCTTTGTTGTCACACCACCCAAATAGAAAATTCCAGGTCAAAGCAGACGAGAGGAAAGGGCACCCTCTGCAGCCCCGGCTTGATGGTTGCGCCCGCAAAGCGTCTATCGCTTTTTGGGTAGAACACAGTCCCGAAACTGGGCGGGTACACGAGAACCCCATTCTGCACCTCAAAAATCAGCCGCTTGACCCTGATTTGGATCATGCCCCGTGCCTTTCTTGGGCTATTTGGGGGTACTACTACGGTACATGGGTGCTCTTCAACAAGATGTCAAAGCCGTTTGCAAAGTTTCGCTGGAAGGGAAGCCAAAGCCCATGGTAGGGGGTATTGCATTCGATTCGACTCTGCCGAAAGGACCTGGAAACCAAAGTTTCAAGGTCCATGCGCTTTGGACTGAGCAGAAAGATCTATCTATCTTTCTGTCTTTCTTTCTTTCTTTCTTTCTATATTTCTTTCTTTCTTTCTTTCTTTCTTTCTTTCTTTCTATCTTTCTTTCTATCTTTCTTTCTTTCTTTCTATCTTTATTTCTTTCTTTATTTATGTCTTTCTTTATTTCTTTCTATATTTATATCTTTCTTTCTTTCTACCTTTCTTTCTATCTTTCTTTCTTTCTTTCTATATTTCTTTCTATCTTTCTTTATTTCTATCTTTCTTTCTTTCTTTCTTTCTATCGTTCTATCTTTCTTTCTTTCTTTCTTTCTTTCTTTCTTTCTATCTTTCTTTCTTTCTTTCTATCTTTCTTTCTTTCTTTATTTATGTCTTTCTTTCTTTCTTTCTATATTTCTATCTTTCTTTCTTTCTACCTTTCTTTCTATCTTTCTTTCTTTCTTTCTATATTTCTTTCTATCTTTCTTTCTTTCTTTCTTTCTATCTTTCTTTCATTCTTGCTTTCTATCTGTCTATCTTTCTTTCTTTCTATCTTTCTTTCTTTCTTTCTTTCTATCTTTCTTTCTTTCTTTATTTCTATCTTTTTGTCTTTCTTTCTTTCTTTCTATCTTTCAGTCTTTCTTTCTGTCCTTCTTTCTTTCTTTCTTTCTATCTTTCTATCTTTCTTTCTTTCTTTCTTTCTTTCTTTCTTTCCTTCTTTCTTTCTTTCTTTCTTTCTTTCTATCTTTCTATCTTTCTTTCTTTCTTTCTTTCTATCTTTCTTTCTTTCTTTCTTTCTATCTTTCTTTCTTTCTTTATTTCTTTCTTTCTACCTGTCTATCTTTCTTTCTATCTTTCTTTCTTTCTTTCTTTCTATCTTTCTTTCTTTCTTTCTATCGTTCTATCTGTCTTTCTTTCTTTATGTCTATCTTTATTTCTTTCTATCTATCTGTATTTCTTTCTTTCTTTCTATCTTTCTTTCTTTCTTTCTTTCTTTATTTCTTTCTTTCTTTCTTTCTTTCTTTCTATCTTTATTTCTTTCTATCTATCTTTCTTTCTTTCTATATTTCTATCTTTCTTTCTTTCTTTCTATCTTTATTTCTTTCTTTCTATCTTTCTTTCTGTCTTTCTTTCTTTCTATCTTTTTTTCTTTCTTTCTTTCTATCGTTCTATCTTTCTTTCTTTCTTTCTTTCTTTTATTTCTTTCTTTCTTTCTTTCTATCTTTCTATCTTTTGTTCTTTCTTTCTTTCTTTCGTTCTTTTTATCTTTCTATATTTCTATCTTTCTTTCTTTCTACCTTTCTTTCTATCTTTCTTTCTTTATTTCTTTCTTTCTTTATTTCTATATTTCTTTCTTTCTTTCTTTCTTTCTTTCTGTCTTTCTTTATTTTATATATTTCTTTCTTTCTTTCTTTCTTTCTTTCTTTCTTTCTTTCTTTCTTTCTTTCTATCTATCTTTCTTTCTTTTATTTCTTTCTTTCTTTCTATCTTTCTATCTTTTGTTCTTTCTTTCTTTCTTTCTTCCTTTCTTCCTTTCTTTATTTCTTTCTATCTTTCTTTCTTTCTTTCTTTCTTTCTTTCTTTCTTTCTTTCTTTCTATATTTCTATCTTTCTTTCTTTCTTTCTTTATTTCTATCTTTCTGTCTTTCTTTCTTTCTTTATTTCTTTCTTTCTTTGTATCTTTCTTTCTTTCTTTCTTTCTTTCTCTCTCTCAATCAATCAATCAATCAATCAATCAATCAATCAATCAATCAATCAATCAATCAATCAATCAATCAATCAATCAATCAATCAATCAATCAATCAATCAATCCATCCATCCATCCATCCATCCATCCATCCATCCAATCCATCCATCCATCCATCCATCCAATCAATCAATCAATCAATCAATAAATAAATAAATAAATAAATCAATCAATCAATCCATCCATCCATCCATCCAATCAATCCATCCATCCATCCAATCAATCAATCAATCAATAAATCAATCAATCAATCCAATTCAATCCAATCCAATCCAATCCAATCCAATCAAATCAAATCAAATCAATTCAAATCAAATCAAATCAAATCAAATCAAATCAATCCATCAATCGATCAATCTAGCTAGCCAGCTAGCTATCTATCTATCTATCTATCTATCTATCTCTCTCTCTATCTCTATATCTATCTATCTATCTATTCATCTATCTATCTATCTATCTATCTATCTACCTCCCTACCTATCTATCTATCTATCTATCTATCTATCTATCTATCTAGCTATTTTTCTCTATTTAATCTCTACCGATCCATCTATCTCTCTATTCATCTATCTCTCGCGAGTCCGTGCCTCCACTGCCCCATCTGCAGAGGTGTTCACCGTGAGCCCGATCTCCTCCGATAGGACCTACACCAGCACGGTCTCACCCTGCTGAAGCATTCTCCGGACAAGCGCCCCCTGGGCGGTTTAGGGTTTGGGAGTTTTGGGGGTTCAAAAAACAACAAGTTGCACGGACCTTCGGCCTCTTCTGAGGGGAGCACAGCGGCCATGTGTCTCACCCAGGGCAATCAATGTCGATCACCAAGGGATCTGTTTGTTCCTTGCAGGCCGCACGTGTTTAACCCTCCGAAGCGCGTCAAAACCCAGAGAGGCATCCCTCAAAATATTTGAGCCCACCAGGTGTCCAACTCGTTTTGAAACATCTCAAGCGAGTTGACGAGCATAAAAACACAATGTAGAGCACATCTCCGTTCTCGGGCCGCAGGCTGCGTTCTGAGATTCTGGGAGGGATGATCCATTTCTTTGCCCCTGCAATTTCGCAAATCATGTAAAATGGAAAGAGTAAACCGTGCGGGGGGCGTCTTTCTTGAGGGGAAGCCCAGTTTTGCGATGATTGGAAAGGGAAACCATTTTGGAAACCCCCCCATTCTTTTGGTCCCCTAGAGAAAGACACTGCCATCTGGGTGAGGCTTAAAAAATTTAGGGAACGCTAAAATGGTCAATTCCTTTTGGATTACCTGTTAAACAACCCCAAAAAGAAGATCCCTAAACAAAGACACACCCAAATACGAATCAAAGGGCGTGCAACCTTCATCAGATATTGTGCTTGGATGGGAAGGGTGCAACCATGCAACCCAGCTGGGGGGGGGGGGATAAAAAGAAACTGTCGTCGCTTGGGGTCAAATTCTGCCCCGGCCAGCGACCCGCTCCGAGCGAAAATCAGATAGGGACCTCAAAACCCACCTGGGCGGCCAAAAACTGGGCTGAATAACTGCGTAATCCCTACATTTCGGAAGAGACAAAACGGCGGACCCATCCATTTTGGTCCTCCCCATATTTGAGACCACTGTTGACTCCAGATAATCAACCTCACGTGGATTTTTAGAGGGTGCAACTCCCCCACAAGTCATCCAAATCCCTACTAAAATGGGGCTACCCCCCTAGCAAAGTCAAGCAGGGTTAGTCAACTAATGTCCTATCACCCGTTCTTTTCTTTCGGCTTTCCCTTGCCAACTGCCCCCGCAAGAAACGTACCATTCACTTTCGCAAGACGAGCCCGTCTACCAGAGTTTCCTTTGTAAGTAGGTTTCCTTTGTGGGTTGGTCGACTCACCTTTCGGGCTTATTATAGTCTAGTGGTGTTTACTTCTTGTGGAATATTCTGGGAAATTGTGGGGGTTTGTGGGTGAATGTCAACCCCGGATTGAGAAACCCAATTATTTCTTCAGAGGCGGGTGTCCCTGGTTTTAGTGGGGCCTCCTTCATCACTTCAGGGGCCCCCAGCCCCAAATCAATCCGCACAGTTTCATCCGGGGTCGACCGCGTGCCTTCGACAGGTGGAGCTCCTCCGAACTCACCTCCCTCGGAGCAAAAAAAACCGGCGGGTTTCGCACGCATGTAACGGCTGGTTTTGCCCTAACCCAACGGCGGTCCATTGGGAGAGCACCCAAACACGGGAGAAACACAGGACCAAAAATGGAAGATGAGATATGGGTGAGTTGCACCTGGTTTCCTCTTTTGGGTTCTTTTGCACTTCTATGCTTGTAGGGAGTCTGAACGTTTCCTTAGTCAGGTGGTGTCAATTTTCACGAAACCCACGACCGCCAAAGCTTCCTCAAAAGGGGGGTAAGGGAGATTGCTCGTTTTGGGGTTGTTGTTTGCTCCAATTAGTTTTGCTCCACATGTCTTGTGGCAACCAAGACTACTCGCCCACTCGATCTTTCGGTATATCATTGCCTGGGCAAACACGTGGGGCGTGCGTTTTGTTGTAGCCCCGACCCGCTTCCGGTTTGTGTTTCCAGGGAAGCCAAATGGAGACTTTCCCATTGGCCCCCACTTTGAGTCAAGCGATCAGTTCCAAGACAGGAAAAAAGGCGGACGAGTCAGAACCGAACAAAATGCTTCGTTCATCAAAACCTCAACCATGTACAGTTGGTGCTTCAAAGAATGGATACACCGTGCACACTAATTAACATGGAACCCCAAAGAAACATCATTCTTAGAGCCCCCCCGGGCGACTCAAAAGAATCCGACACATGGTGGCGCAAGATAGGGGAACTGCAAAATGGGCGGTGTCCGTCTGGTGCCCTTCAAACCCAACCAAAAGACACAGGGTTCCCTATATGCCCCTTTCAAGCATCGCCCCACCAAAAGCAAACTCGCTTTAAACTGACTTTGAAACCACTGAAAAAGGGCCATGGGTGTGTTTTTGTTTGGGAGTCGGACCCCCCCAAAAAAAAGCAACAAAACCTTTCCCAAACAGGCGTGCCATCCACCTTTTTTGGGGTGTCCGAGCGGAAAAGTCCGTCGCGCCATCTTGGGGGGGCTCAGAAATTCCTAAAGGACGAGCCACCCAAACCGGGGACCCCACTTGGGAATGGGTCAAAATTCAAGCACCGGGAATCGGACCGCAGGTTCAATCGTCCTTGGTTCCATGTACTAGGGTTCCAAAATGGTCACAGGCTGTTAAAAAACCTGGAGGCGAGAGCAAACAGCACGAAAAACACGAAAGTACCAGGTTTTTTTACCAGCCTGTTTCCTCCAAAGTGGATACCCATCTTTGACCCCGGGGACCCCACTTCACCCCAAATGGTCCGCTCCGATTTCCTTGGGCCCCGCGCGGCACGGCGAGGCGCGTGCCCTCGCCGTCCCGCAAGGCCAAGAGCCTCGAGGGAACCCGCTCGAAGCGGTTAAGCGTCCAAGCGGTGGAACGCACCTCTCATGGAGGCTAGGGGGGAGGGAGCAACAAATAAGGCCTTAATCAGGCTTAAGCCCAAAATAGGGGCTCAAACTTCTTCCAGCCTCCATGTTGGTTGGTTTGATAGTTTCACCCTTGTCAGAAAGATATTCTGGTAAGATGACATTGTCAGATTTAGATAGGCCTTACTATCATGGAAAAGACAATGGTGGAACCACCTAAAATTGCCTGGGATTGGATTTGGGCGCATCTGGCAAAAGCCACAGCCCTCTTTCCAATGGAAGCTGACAGTACGGTTTCGGAAGACTATCGTGATCAGAGCTGGATAAGGCGTCTCAATGGGCCGCGTCGACGATGTTTTTCCCCGTCCTCATTGTTGGAAAGCGGGCGTGGAGAAAACAAAAGGCCCCTGCGCACAGGTTCTTGGAACCTTCTCAGTTCTGAAAAGTTCTCTACTCGGCCGTGGGTCAAAAATATGTACCCAACATAACATGGCTTGCCCTGGTAAATGGAAACTTGGATTACAACCTGCGGTCCGATTCCTGGTGGCTTAATTTTGACCCACACCCACTTCACAGCATCAAACAAGACTTTTGTTGGGCGCTGCTTGGCTTGTCCCAACCTTCGGGGCCCTGATTGCCCGCTTCCTTCAGACCACAGTTCTCGGCTTTCGGAGACATCTACAACTAGGTCCTCCAGATTTGAGAGCTTAGAATAACGGTGCCCGATTTGTTTTTCCTGTAGTCTATTTTAGTCGGGGAAAACCCTCCCAACCAAAAAAGAAAGGGGTGAGAAAGGGCACGATCCTGGGGGACCTAGACAAGAACCCTTTCAGCTGGGGCTCTTGCGGATCTCCAAAACCTGGAGCCCCTGTTGGCTTGCTCTCGGAATCCCAAAGTCAACCAGCCCAGTGCTTCCACGCAAGCTACTGCAACAGGTAAAGGGGCTTTACCGCGGTAAAAAAGGGAGAACCCGCCGCGTTTTTCCTATCGCAACTAGGAGTACTCTGCTAGTTTACTATTATTTTGCCCACAGTGTCCTAAAACTGCCGGGGAAGAGGGCTCAAAATCGGAGATGTCCTTTAAAGTGTCTTCTTCTCTCAAGAGAAAGTCAAACACCGGACTACCTCCAGGAACAACACCAGAAAGGGTGTCTCAAAATCGCCTAGATTTCCACTTCAAGCATCACTCCTACCAGGGGCAACCCTGAGTAGGCCAAACCAATGGTTGAAATCACCGAGGGGAAAAAAAGGAAGGACAAAAAAAACGTGACAGCCCGAAACCAACATCAAGAAAGACACACCCAATAAAGCCACAGCCAAACAAGCAAAGAAAAAAGAAAGAAAAAAGGTTCACCACAAAAAAGAAGACACACACACACATATTGTTTCTTGTGGAGACCCTGCCAGGTGTCCGGCTGCTGCTTCAGCTTGTCCAAGAAGCCCTCTTCCACGTTGAAGACGGTGATCTGCCACGTGGCCCCAATCCTGGCGCTGCGGAGGTCGGCCAAAGTCGGTTAGTTGGTTGGTTGGGTTAGACTCAATATTCAAACGGAACATCACAAAACACAAACAACTGCCCAGTGTTTGGTAGTTGATTGGCTGGTTTGTTGGTTCGGTCCTGGCTGGTTGATGTGTTGGACCTAGCTTCTGGCTGGCTGGCTCTCTCCAGCCACATCTCTCGGGTTCGCCAAGCCTGGGACGCTTTTGGTTTCCCTGGAACAGCCGTTGGGGTTCAAAAGGTCGAAAGGGCGATCCGAACACTCCAAAGACGAGCCATCTTGGCTTTCATGGGGGCTGGGGGGGGCCAGGGAGCCCAAAAAAAGCCCTAAATAAGGCCATATTAAGGGCTTAATAAGGGCTTATTTGGGCTCCCTCCCCCCCCTCCTCCCTCCCCCCCAGCCCCCATGACTTTCTGAATAAGTCTGCTCATGCGATAGTATATACTGCCATTTGTCATAGCAAAGTTAGTGTTGCTGCTGTTATCATCAGTGTCATCGTGATTATTCAGGTCTCTTTGTTGTCAGGCCATAATGACACACATTATTCATTACTCTCGTAATAATTTTACGAACCAAGCACATCCAACCAAAAAAACTGCTGAATTGACATGCGGCACCTCACATCCCTACTTGAAATATTTAGGGCAACCGCTGTGTCGCCACCGGTGGGTGTAAAACTACCAACACGCATGCAGGCAAAGGCTATGAACGAGCGTAAGCAAATATTGCCCATATTCACACAAGCCTGTGTTCTTTGCAACTGTGCAGGAACACTTGTTTAGCACTGCCGGCCGAGCTACAACTCACCATTCCTAGTCAGTCACACACACCCCAACCCCCCAGACCACTTGACCTAAAAAAAGAACAGAAACAGACAAGCAAAAGACTAGACGCAACATACCCAAGCACAGTAAAGTGAAACGTTCCCCAAGCCAACCCCGCTCCCGGGAACCCAAATGGTTCCGTTTGACCCAGGGCTCTGAGCGGGGTCTAAGCCAAAAGCCGTCGAGTGCTGGAAATAAATGCAAAGTCCATTTCAATGCGTGCCGATGGCTTCAAAGGCCCGGACAGCTTCATCAGAAAACGGTGCAGTTGACTGCCACCACACGCGACGTCCCGCAACAAACACCACGAGATTGAAAGGACAGAAGTGTCAACCGCGACCAAAACGTGGGCCCATCCTGCACAGCACCACTTTGACCTACAAAAAAAAAGAGAGGTTTCCGGCGGCCATTCAAGATGGCAAGTCAATGGAGTCACAACAAAGCAGCTCCAGGCTTTTGAGATCTTCGACGGGGTGGTGCGGTTCACTGTCTACTTTCCCTGTGCATGCATCTATGCACTTCACTCTTGCCCTATGCATGCCTCTCTGCATTTCACTGCAACTGTCTGAGGGTTCTGTAAAACCACCCCGGGATTTTTTCCACCCTTGGGAAACGACCCAGGTGTTTTTTCCAACAATAACACGCTTTTATCCGGAAGTGTGCCTAGATATCGGGGTCAATCAATACCCAGTGGGAATACGTATTCCCAGGGTGTCACACCAAAAGCCCTTCGAAACTGGTCTTCCGCTTCAAGGCACGCGTCCCAAGCTCAGACACGAGCCCAGGAGACCGCGGCAGGGGGGCAGGGGGGGGGGGGTGGAAGCCCGGCCTCTCCGTCTTGGCCACGAGGCCCATGCCTCGGCTCAAGGATTTTCTGTTTTTTATTTGCACCCAGGAGGATAGGTGGCTTCCTTGTGCAACTGGCGGCATTGGTTTGGTCTCCCTTCAAACCAACCTGAAGAGGATGATGCTGACCCCATATTTTTCCTCAGCCCCAGTTGATGAATGGGCGGGTGCTTTTCGGGGTGAAATGTGGGGATTCAGACCACTTTGGGAGGCTCCACCCCCATATAAAACTGGGGTTGATGAATATGGGGTCAACCTTTGTCAGCCGCTTACCGAGCGGTGTCCAATGGCGGCTAAAAGGGGCCGACGGGCCCTGATGAACCCCGCAAAGTGATGGCTGAGGCCATTTTTTTGACAACCATCGCTCTTTTCCAAAACCGGGTGTTTTTCCCTTTTATTTTCTGGATTTATGGAGGTTTGCTAGAGAAAGAAGGATCCCTGGAAAGAATGGGCAAGGTAGCCCTAGAATTCTGCTCCAACCCGAACATTCCGATCCCAAGAAAGTCACATGTATCCAGATAAGAATAACTCCGGTTCCCCTTCCCCTTCCAAAGCAACTCATGAGTAGTCCCCTTCACATGCAACTAGAAACTGTGCAGCTTCTGCCAACTAGAAATGAGGTGTTTAGATTCTGGGCGATACTGAGTGAACGCGTGAATCTTAGCATGTGCAGAAATATGCGGTCAAGGTTATTTGTTTTTTCCCCCTACATGCCCCCAAAGAGCAAGGAAGTAACGAGGGCTGGGGTCATTGAGACTTGTCCTTGACGCACCTTTGAACTTCAAGGACCCCTTGTGATTTTGTCCCAACGCTCATCGAAGTCTCGGCGAACCGGGAAAAGGTCGGTGTGGAATTCTGCAAGGGATCGCTGGAGTGCTCACCGAGGTTACAACTTCTCCACTTGAGAGGCGGGTGAACGAATGCTAGCCAGCCCGAAAACGGCACGTGCGACTCAGTGGTTGCCAAGATGCTAAGAGTAGCAAGCAGAAATGAACACCCAGAAAGTTGCAAAGACCCGAACTTGAACCAGGTCCTAGTGAAAAATAGCTCCCCTAGCCGCTAGGCCATGAGGACAACGCTCATGAGAATGAGCTGGTAGTGTGGGCAGGGGAAAGGAACCTTCATCATGGAGCCCCAAATCGGTCAACGACAACCCCTGTGTGAAGCCGCTCACTCTCGTTGATGCCGAGCCATGCTTTTAGGGACCCCTCTGGGCCATAGATTCTTGTGGTTTCCATCGACCCCTTCAGGTGGTTGACTGTTGTTGATGGTTTCTCCTACCAAAAAACAGGACCGATCCCTGCCAGGTTGAAACCGCTCTGAATGGGACCTGGAGGTGAACCCCAACCGATGTGAGGGGAAAACAAAGGGAAGCCAAACGCAAGGGGTCCCATATTCCCCCTGATGAGAACCCTTTTTCGGGGTGTTGAACCGAAAGGCAGATCTGTGCCTTCTTGAGGAAGCGCAAGGAAGGCTTCAAGCCGAAACCGCCGGGGGATGTTCAAAACTCCATCTTCAGGATCCAAATCCCTATTTTGAGCCATACCCACTTCCAAAAGCTGCAAAAACCGCGTCGATTGCCAGAGCTGCCAGCTCTGGCAACTTCAAAAACGCCCCCGCAAACCTTAAGCCATACCCACTAGGTCCTCCAGTAGAGAGGTGCGAATAAGGGGTACCCACTTTCTTCCTATTTTAGTAGGGGACAACCCTCCCAGCCAAAAAAAGGGTTCAGAAAGGTTGCACCTAGCTGTCACACCTAGCCCATCTTCGAGGTTCGACTCCTTGGGCCCAAGTCTCTCACCCGAGTCACTTGCTCAAAACCCGGTATTCAGCTGGTCGCAATCCCAGAGCCATGCTTGAAGAGTTTAGAAGGCGGAGATCCGCAGCTCTTTCCGGTTGGGATCGTCCCTTGATCTTCATCTACCCGAATCGGTTTTGATTGTGACTCATCGCCTCCGCTGGAGTCAAGGGGCGCTCCGCCAGGATCTGCACCACGGCCCGCTGCACGTGGCTCAAGGAGCTGGGGAAGCTGTGGGCGCCGTGCAGGGGGATGCTGTGGAGCTCATCCTGTCTCCGCGGGGAGCAAGCCGGAGCTCCGGAGCTCCAAAGCTCAGAAACCCGGACAACCCACTTTTGCAAGTTGGAGGTCTCGCAAATTCCAGGGGCTTTTTAGGGAACCAGCTGGAAACCCTAACACAAACTGTCCCAAGGGTGTTCGTCGGTTTTTTGGGGGGAACCTGACGGCTGGAAACCCTAAGGAAATTGTCCCAAGGGGTTTGGCCAGTTTTTTGGGGGGACCCGGTGGAAAAACCTGGCGGAAAAGAAGAATACGATGTTCATGGCTTAAACCAATCCGGGGTCAACCATTCACTTGGCCCATTTGCAAGTGAGCCAGCCGTTCAGAAGAATGGAGTGCTTTTTGGATCGATTCCGATTTTTTAGTGAACCCAAAAACCGGAGAAAAAAAAGAAGAAGAAAACAGATGTAGAAGGGTACGTCTGAACAATTTGCTGTCCAAGGTGTGCCTGCGAACTGCGGTTGTTCAAGGCATCGGCGCACCGAAAGACTGTCAGGACTCAGCCCCGAATCAAAGCAGTGCCATACCCCACGTTCCAAAACGTGCTTCTTCTTGGGTATGGCGTCGTCCCAAACGAAAAGTAGATGGGGAAAAAAGGGGTTTTGCATGGCAAGAAATCTGTTTGTTCTTTTGCCGGGAGGGTGTGGCAAGTCGAACCGACTTCAAGCCCCAGCTCCAAGCTCTGAATGGACGTCTCCATGTCACCAGCTGCCCCAAATCCCAAATGCCCAGCTCCTAATGTGTTGTGCCACCCATTTCAAGAGGAATCCCCCCCCTTTCGAGGGAGACACCGTTGGTGGGATTCCGAGTTTCTGGGGGCCGACCGAAAGGCTCGGAGCCTGTGAGGCCCGCAACCGGCCTTGCGACCCTGACTGCCGCCTTGGGTCGTTGGACAACCACAGACGATCCTAAAAGATCAGCTCGGAGAAAAGAAAAACGCGCAGGTCGAGCTGGGATGAATCGACCGTGCTCATTGAACTTCTCAAATTCCGAATGAGTTCTCCGGAATTCGAAGTGGGTCCCACTTCAACCCACCATGCCTACGAATCCAAATTCGGTTGGGGGACCCTTTGGTGGACATCCTTTGTTTTTCATGTCCAACCACTCTTCAGGCTTGGTTAGGTCCTCCAGTAGAGAGGCTAGAATAAGGATATCCATTTTTCTGTAGTCTATTTTAGTAGGGGAGCCCTCCTCCAAAAAGGGGTGAGAAAGGACTCTACCCGGGGACAAAGTTGGTGTTCATCGCCACATTTCGCCTCTGCGCCGAAGCACGAAGCACCCGGCCTCCACATCCTCGGCGAAGTCCCGGAGATTCAAGACCAAGATGCTCCCGGCGTCTCCGTCTTCGCCCAAAGCCTCCTGGGCAACTGGGCTGCCCGTTTTCGGATCCCCCGCTCAATGTGACTAACTTTTAGTGGGTTAAATGGAAACTACCAATAAACTCTAAAAGGCTAAGAAGCTAAGGGGATGGCTGGGAACCACCAAGGAAAGTAACGGCGTCCTTCGAGATTTCACGGCCAAAACTGCAGACCCGAAGGGTTTGGGGTTGGTCTTCCTGGTCACAATTGTTAAACAAACAGCTTCGGGGCATAGCGTTTTGTTTTCCAACCAACCAATTCTTCGGGGCCAAACCGAGGCTCGGGTGCAGGTGGGGTACGAATGTGGTGCCCGGAGAATACAAAGCCGAATGAGTAACCAGCAGATGTATTTTGAATCCAACTTGAAGCTACCGAAGGGTTGAGGTTGGTGGACATCATCAAAGACTATATTTGTCGTCCCCAGCCATCAAGCACCGTTTCGGTGGTGCCACCCTTCCTCCCACAAACATAGCCTCTCTGGAGAGGCTTCCAACAATTCCGATTCGGGTTTGACTCCAAAGGAGGGGATCCCCCAAAAGGATGGGTTTCCACTCCTACAATGTCCCTTTAAACCAAGCCCAAAACGGCGACCCTCCAAGGGGGACGCGCAGAGGACGCGCCCATGGCAAAATGTCCTCCTTGGGCATCACGTGCTGAAGGCTGTACTTCGGCTCCGGCCTCACCTCCTCGCAACCGGGAAGCCAGCTAGCTAGTTGGTCGGCAAGCTAGCCAGCTAGTTCACTAGCTAACTAGGTACGTGGTTGGTTGGTTGGCTAGCAAGTTGCTTGCTTGGTTGTCTGGCTAGCTGGCTGGCTGGCCGGTTGGTTGGTTGGTGAGTTAATTATTTAGTTGTAGTCAGCTTTACGCAGGCCTCGTAGTCTATTTCCAAGGTAGGTGCTCGATGGATTTGTGCTGCCCCTTCCTTCGCTATGATCTGCGAACACGTGTCACTGAGCAACCTCATCTGTTGGCCGCACGCATATAGGCTTGTCTGTTTTCAGGGGGGGCGTCCTTTTGGTTTTCCCCCAAAGCGGCAAAAGATACGCCCATACGGGTGCTTCAACAAAAGAACTTTGAACCTGGTTGATGTCAACCCAAAGAAGGTCTCAAATGTCTGGACACTCGTGGTGTGTCTTTGCGGGTACCCCGAATGAGGCACCCAAGGGACAGAGGAAGACCACGATTTCTGGGATCCGCAGCTTGGTTTTGGGTTCCGCAGCTTGGATATTCAGGCTGCTCTCCGGCTCCTCCTCTATGCTCCTGCGCGCATTTGAGATGGGGCCCCTGTCCAAGCCAGGTCTCAAGCTTTTCTGTTGAATGGTGAAAAAGGGGTTACAGTAAAGACAGGTTTGGATGCTTTATAAGGAACACACATATGTTTGGATTGTCAAAAAAAAGAATTCTCCCTAAACAGGATTTTCGGCCCTTGACCTGTTTGGCAAAGCCCAAATGAAGTCAACTGTTTCCGAAAGGGTCCCCTGTTTGGCCCATCTGTGGCTATGTGCGCGAAGTTGTTTTCTTTTTCCCGGGCACACTTTCAGGTTGCTGCCACACTCATTCTTGGGCATTGTCTGTATCCCACGCAAGAAGCTGACCTTCTCTGCTTGCGGCCTCAAAGGGCGGATCAAACTGACTAGTGGTTTTGCTGCTCTCCAGCTTGGAACCAAGCAAAGAGCCTTGCTACGCCAAGATCGCTTCCCCGGCCCAAACATGGGCGTGAATGCAGAACGAGGTTTGGGCGGTTTTCCTTTTGGTGCCCCTTTCAACAAAAAAAAGGTACCCTCAAAACAAGACATGGGTGTCTTGTGTTGAGGCAACCCTTTTTGGGTTGCCTTTATTTAGGGGGGCTCCCTCCTTTGGAGACAGACCAGTGACTATGGAAAAAACAGTTTGTATTCAACCTCTTGTATTTCGGAGCCTCAAAAACAAACACAAACCCATACGCGTTTGTGCAAACATCATGATTTGGACCCTAATGGATGTTGCTTTTCTACTCTGGACTTCCCTTTAAACCAACCCCAAAACATTGGTGGATTTGGATTGGTGCTTTGGTAGTTGGGGATGGTTTCCCATTTACCCTAGGTGAAAAATACAAAAAATAAAGCAGGAGCTCAAATCCAAACCACCAATCCAAACCACCAACTAAGTTATGCTAACTAAGGGCCACATGAAAGATTGGAGGCTAGCTTTTGGATCCTGAAAAACCAGGAGAATGGAGTTTACCTGAAACTAACCCAAAAAAAAACGGCACCGAGCCTCGAGAAAGAAAAAAACAAAACAACACACGTTCCTCTGCATCTCGCGGATCTCCACCAAAACCGGCGAGGGCAGCGACCAGAGCCGCATCTTCTCCGCCACCTGCGGCTGAGGAAGGAGGGGGCGTCTAGTTGGGCGGGGCTTGTTGAGGGGTTGGGGGTGGGGGGGGTGGGTTGTTTGAGGGGGCCTTGAACATGAAGGGTTTGTGTTTTTTTCCTGAGGGTGTTGTTGTTTTTGTTGTGGGTGGGGGGGTGGGTTGTTTGGGGCGTCTGGACTGACAAGGAAAGCTTAGTTGGGCGGGGTTTGTGTTTTTTGCTGAGGGTGGTTGCTTGTTTTGTGGGGTGGCGGGGTTTGTGTTTTTGTTGAGGGTGTGGTTGTTGTTGTGTTTTGTGGGCGGTTTGGGGGAAGGGGAGGGTGGTTGTTTGAGGGGGCCTTGACCGGAATGAAGAATAAAGCCAAAAAGCTTCAAACTTATGGTCTACGGTTTCTGCGCGAATCACAATGATCCACCAACCAAAAAAAGGTGAACCTACTTGTTTCCAGGAGTCCTTTTGTTGAAAACCACCCAAAAAAATCAAGGGCGACGGCTGGTGGTTGAAAAGAACGATAGCTGACACACATCTGGGTGAACAGGGATCGTCATTGCAACTTGTAAATGGTGGTTTCCAACTCTATTTTGGTGGGTTAAAAGCCAGCCATGTGTCAAATGGGCGGCTGCAAGATGGTTCGATATGTTTTTGGAGCCCTGGTGAATGGATCGATTCACCCGGAAGGACCAGGATCTTCCCCTTCCTTCCGCAGCCCCAAAAACGCAAACTCGAGGTCCTGATATCATCGAACGAGCCATCCAGTGGAGTCCTACGGCCTGGGATAAGCCCAGGGTTTGTGCGATTGCTTTCGCAAGGCCGTGGCACCTCTTGGGAGACTTGGTCCCAAAAGGAGAACACAGTGAAAAAGACAATAACACCTTTTTGGTAGAAACCTTGGGTAGAAACCTTGGGTAGAAACCTTGGGTAGAAACCTTGGGTAGAAACCTTCGCAGCAGTAAAGACTACTTCGCAGCAGTTCCGAAGATCATGAATGCTCGAAGCACTCACTGCGCTTCCATGGTGCAAAGAGTAGCAACTTACAACGCGCGCAGGTGGGTGGAGTATGGCACTATTCCCACATGTCGCTAGAGTCACCCCCCTTCACTTACCCACATAACTGGTGAGCATGGAAAGCTCCGACCCGTCTTGCCCTCCACCCATCTCGATGCCATCTCTTTGGGCGCTTTCTTGAGCCCTTGAGCAGGGCTGTGGTTGTTTCTGCAATCCGTTTCGGCGATACGACAAAAAAAGGCTTCCCAAAGACTAACTTGGTTGACGTTGGAAGGGGAGCAAAACAATAAATTTTAGCAGTTAAGTGGGGATTTCCCACTAAACCACCACAAGCAAAAATGTAAAATCTTTCCCAACAACAACCATGGCTAACCCCCAGGTAAAGGGGGAGCTTCCAACCTTGTATCACTGTGGTTGGATAAACCCCTTCCTTGATCCCACAACCCTGCCCTCCAAAACCTTCCATCTTTCACTATCGGGCGCCTCCTCAACGATGTAGCTGCGCCTCACCGGCGTGAGGTGGTCCATGCGGCAGAGCCATTCCCGGGCGAAGGCGAAGGACCTCAGAAACCGCGCTGCGCGCTGCGCGTGGAGCTGGGGGAGTGGCTCCAAATCGGAATCGGTGCCCCAAATCCTTGATATTTCCAAGCTTTCTGAGCCACCTCGCATAAAGGGAAGTAACATGTTCCACCAGCCAGAAGGCCAAAGGAGGAAAAGTCCCACTGTCCCCTTGGTGTCACTTGGGGATGACGAATGAAGATCTTACCTCATGCGAAGCAGACGGTCAAGGTTTCCAGACACCAATAAGCTCAAGTGGAATCCCCGTCCCCGGATCTGCACTTAACCACTCCGAAGCCTCAAAAAAAAGGCTATCTGGGACCTGAACCACCTACGGATTCCTTTCGCGGAAACCCTCCGGAAGGCCTCTCCAAAAGCCGGACGAGCGGCTCTCCCGGCATCATCGCCGCCAGCTTCTCCCGCACGCGCATGCGAAACTCCTCAATCTTCAACGACTTGGCCATGGGTCATAACCTATGCCTCCATGTTGGGGCGGATGAACACCCATGTACCACCAATTTTGGTGTTCACCAGGGGTACAGGGTTTTGACCCACGAGGAACTTCTGGAACCACTCATAGAGAAGCCACCTGGGTAAACTGGTAAACCATACATACACCTTGTCGGTTCGACTTCCGGGGATCTTCAAAGTGTTCAGTTGGACACCTGGGGCTTTTGCCGATTGGAAGGGTCGAGCAAGTGGGGGGCTCGACTTGTTGATCGCCAAACCAATGGAGCAGCGCCCCAAACCCATGGAGCGTGGGTTTCAAAAGAATCAACTTGATCATCTATCTATCTATCTATCTATCTATCTATCTATCTATCTATCTATCTATCTATCTATCTATCTATCTATCTATACATATATACATATATACATATATACATATATGTATATATGTATATGTGTGTGTGACCCACGGTCAATCACTACTATCCTGTCGGGTGAGCAATCCCCATTTCATCATGGTAGACTGCTGAGTGTGCCCCATGTTATCCCCCTTTACTTGCCCGTTTCTAAATTGGCCAAGACCCTACAGTCAGTTGGATTGCCTGAAGTTGTTGCCCCTTCACAGCAGTTGCTGAGGCAAATGTGGCAACACCAAAGGACTCTTCTGTTGGACCAGCCTTTTCACGAGCACAACAGGAACACCAAGCCTCGGTGTTCCTTGTAAATGGGGCCAAGGTGTTTTCTCTTCGAAGTGCATCTATTTGCTTGAGTCCTTCTGGAAACAATGAAAATATGTCCAGTAGTGATAGATTCCTTTTAAAACCAACAGGGGGGAAAAAAAACAAACAAAAAAAAAAAACCAAAAAAAAAAAACACCAAAAAAAAACAAAAAAAAATGGAAGAGTGGCTTTCCTTGGCCAACCACTTCAGACTTGCCGGACTCCGAGGAGGTCTGTATCTTTCTTGCTTCCTTTCTCAGCATTGCGTTCCTTGCGAGAGCTCCTGGAGAGGTTGCTTTCACAGGTGCTTCATCCATCCTTCCACCAGTGTTGCTTCGCTTTGGCAGCAAAGATCTACATGTTTCATGCATCATTTAATTTGATTTGATATTCGACACGGGAAATAGCAGGACCCCCCACCAGAAGGTGGCGAACCCGGGGTCAGCCTATTCTGGCTCTTTGCATTGTGTTGGACATTTGTCTCAACTCACATGTAGTGGCTCGAGTCCATTGTTGCGTTGTGTTCTTTCTTTTCGTTTTGCAGTTGTTCTTGTTTAAAGCTGGTTGTTCTCTTTAGTTTTCTCGAGTCCCTGAAGTGACGAGACCCACCCAGGATGAAGGACGCAACTCTCTAGGGGTACCTTCTCCATTCTTTCCAGGGATCCTTCTTTTCAGGAAACCATCAAAAACCCAGAAGAAACAGATCCGGTTTTTGAAAAGAACGATGGGTGAAAAGAATGAACAAGGAATCAACCCCTAGAAACCCGCGCTCTGATGGAAAGTCTGCCAAGCCAAGCCCCGTGCGCCTCCTCTTGCTTCTTCCTGGCCTGGTTCTCTTGCATCTCCAGAAGCCAGGGGTCCTGCGGCGCCGCAGTGTTGCTGGGTAAGAAACGGCCAGCGGCTAGCCGTTCAAAAAAAAGGTGGTGCGCCATCTTTTTGATCTTCCAAGGATTCTGAACAGAGGGGCTTCCTTGATGTTCCTCTTGGCTTCAAATGGGAGATCACCGGAAAGCCTCCTTTTTCAGGACGGAACATCAAACCATGTGTGACAAAATGGGATTGGGCCCTAGTCGCGGTTCCTTTTTATATAAAGCTGCAAGGAGGCGTCCCTACTTTTGCGTTCTGACAAACGGGCAAATGGTGTATTGGCATAGAGCTACGGTGTGTCTGTTTAAACTCTCCGATCTAGAGTGCCCGGACCCCCAGGAAACATCATTGGCGGTGTCGTTGGTGAGGTTGCATCGTTGCCAGTAAATGTGCAATAGCCAGTGTCCAGCGTCACAACGGAGCTCACAACCGTGTACTACTACTTCAAGGACTCAAGCGCCAATACAAGGATTACATTTCCCCACGATTTAAATGCGTGATTCGGGCACGAACCTGTGCCCAGGCAATAGGTTAGTTGGGGTAAACAAGCCACAAAGAAAGGTTCCCCAAAAGCAAACCAATCCCCGGTCCCAAAGATCAGGGTTTCCCACACACCAGAGAACAACAACCAAAAGAGAAAAACCAAAACAAGTAAACAAGTACCCGCAACCTTGATCGACGATGAGCCGCACGGGCGGACCCCACCAATCTGCCCCGGGCCGATGTCTCTTTCTCCACCGACACGAAGGTGATCGACGCGGGGACCCGGCGACGCTCATCCGAGGCGCGACGGACCCGCAAACTTGAGCCAAACACCACCGGTCAGTCACTACCGCGACTTCCCAGATGATGATTTAAACCATGGCTAATCACACCCCCCTCACGAGGAGCCCGTCATATGACGGGTGGAGCGTGCCATTCACTGATAAGATTTAACTGCTCGCATACGTCCGCAAACAGCTGGACACTACCGCCGTCAGCGGTGGAGCAAACCCACAAAGGCAGTCGCGCGACATCCCGGGCATTAAATTCCCGCCACAGCCCCGAATTAATCGGGGTAACGCTGTCCAACATACCTTGTGGAAGAGTCCACATGACGGCAATAGGCCACAACTGTTTGCATCAGAAATGCAAGTAGTTCAATTCTTATCAGAAGCCATGAAGCAAAGGATAACGTATGTCCATTAGTACCCTTGCCTATCGGCAAGAAGTACTCCTGATCATGCGCACCTGTAAAACACACAATTCCTCAAACCTGGGAGTATCCTCCATCAGTTTGCATCCTCTCTCACTCACACTACTTCATGGTGTCCATGACCAGCAGCCGAGCAGCGGTGCAGGAGAGACATGAACTCCGCGCCTCAGCGGTGCGGGAGGATAGCGATCATCACCCCGCAGCGTCGACCATGGAGGTCGGGTGCAAGCCTATCGTCCGCAGCCCTCGTGAATGAGCCAATCGGCTGTCATTTCGCCTCCTCCGGTCGCGTCCGCCCCGCGCACTGTCCTGTCACGATCCCTTTCGGACCTCCTTCGATCGTCCCTCCTTCGATCTCGGTCCCGATCAAGCGATTCATCACCGCGATGATCCCGACGATCGTCTCTCCTTTGATCACGATCTTCGTCTCTCCGCGGTCGATACCTGCGCCTTCTCGACTCGGGAATCCCTGGTGTCCTGAGTCCTAACGGACCTTCGGGAGGGCGTGCGAGAGACATCCGTACCCCGACGTGCCCGCTCTGCATGGGAGTTTGCCACAAGCTCGTGGGTCTGCAGGCCCGTGCCGGTGATGCAGATGATGCTGGGGATGCTGGGGATGCTGGGGATGCCGGCCTTTGTTGATGAAATCTCAAAGTCTTAAAGTCTGAGAATAATAGACTCATGAAATTAGAATGATAGAACACTTTAATCGTAAAAACTTTAAATCCGCAAATTTCAGAATCTTAAGCGCTTAACCTCGCAAAACCGTAAACTAGTACAATCTTAAAAAAGATTTTAAGATTGTACTAGTTTATGGTTTTTTGGAGGCAAAGCGAAATTTGAGGATTTAAAGATCTTACGATTAAAGTGTTCTAAGATTGTAAAACTGTAAGATTTTCTGATTCTATTATTCTCAGACTTTAAATGTAAAAGCTTAATTTCTTACAATCTAAAAAGCTGCAAACCTGCAGAAACTGAACATAGTCGAATCTTAAGATCTTAAAATCGTAAGATCTGTAAATTTTAACATTTTTAAAAACTTGAAACTTAGAAGTACAACCTTAAACATTTAAAAAATAAACAAATCTTGAACCCCTCGAGATCCAAGCACACCCGGCCATTGGTGTGGGCCCTGGTGTGGGCTCCATTTTTTCCTGGCATACTGAGTATATAGTCAAGGGGAGCGTCGTCTGTGAAAACCCCCCTACCATCGAAAATCAAAAAACAAGTATGGACCCTCCCAAAACAAAAACGTGCATTTGTCAAATGGCCTAACTGGTGGACATCAAATTTACATTCGGATTTATGTGCGCCGATCGTTCCCTCGCTACTAAGTTCATCCTAATCTACAGGGGTCTACGGGAATTAACTTGCTGAATGAAAGGGCTTGAATAATTAGAATTGGGCTGTGGGGGGCTTTAAATTCAGTCATGACCAGACCACAGGAAAACTTCATGTTGGTAGACCCCAAACATGGGGCGCTTGTCCTTTTGGTTTCTCTTTCAGCCACCCCAGCAGGCTGGCGCTTTGCTGCACTTTCTACATCTGCTGCGCTTATTGTGTTTGTTCAGTTGTTACTGACCTTTCAATAGGTCGATGGCTCTCACTTTGGCACTCTCCACAAGACATGCTACCAAGGCAAACCCATTCAGCAGCCGGGCGCCTGCGCCTCCACAAACTGCATGGGGTTGGAGGGTGCCAGGGCTGACCCGACCCCAGATTGGAATGTGGGAGTCGCAGTGCTCAAAACCCGTGCTGACTGTTGGCTCTACCAAGACAGTCAAAGGTTTTTATAGGCCTTCCTATAACACCATAGGACCAGGCACTAGAATCTGGGCAGTTCCTTTTAAACAAACATGAAAGGGAACAAAAAGAATATGATTCATCAAGCAATTGAAACCGTGAGCTCGGTCAACAGCTTCCACCCTCCCAGAACCCCTCGAGATCCAAGCACACCCGGCCATTGGTGTGGGCCCTGGTGTGGGCTCCATTTTTTCCTGGCATACTGAGTATATAGTCAAGGGGGCAGAAGGTCCAGCCTGGGCCACACGCCAATGGTGCAAGCGTCGTCTGTGAAAACTCCCTACCATCGAAAATCAAAAAACAAGTATGGACCCTCCCAAAACAAAAACGTGCATTTGTCAAATGGCCTAACTGGTGGACATCAAATTTACATTCGGATTTATGTGCGCCAATCGTTCCCTCGCTACTAAGTTCATCCTAATCTACAGGGGTCTACGGGAATTGACTTGCTGAAAGGGCTTGAATAATTAGAATTGGGCTGTGCGGGGCTTTAAATTCAGTCATGACCAGACCACAGGAAAACTTCATGTTGGTAGACCCCCAACATGGGGCGCTTGGCCTTTTGGTTTCTCTTTCAGCCACCCCAAAAAGCCACTTCTTATTTAAGAAAGAAACGCAAGGAATCTGCTTTTCGCGGGTACCATTTTGGGGTAATCTTCTCCCCGCCTCGGCCGGAGGCGCTGCCTGTCCATCGGCGTGGAAAGTTGTTCGTAGCTTCTTGGAAGGGAAACCCTTGGGGTTTCGGGCCCCTTTTTTTCAATTAAAGACACGCGAAGGAAAGTGTTTGAAGCCACCAAAAGGAAGCTCACTCGTGGCCCTTTCACAAAGGGTGGGGTCCTTTTTGGTGAACATCAGATTTACCATGGGGCTTATGTCCACCCATGTCTACCTCTGAAAATGCGACTTCGTCGTGGTTTGTCTTGAAAAAACACTAAGGTTGGAATCTATAGAAAAGTCAGGAACACTTCCAATGCCAATCGGTACATGCAGTTAAACTGTACATGACGAATGGCTACCTACCATCAACACCCCCGCTTTGCGGAGGCGCGTCGGTTAAGACTAACCACCGACACCCCTGGGCCCGGCGCAAAGATATCTGAGGCAGAGACGATGCAGGCATCAGGCGCCTCAGGATGGAAGGTCAGTGACATGAGTCATGGTAGGAAAATTTAAAGCTTTGGGTCAATGTTAGGTGCAGCAAAGGCAATGTCATTTACGATTGCAGTGATTTTGCCGCGCACAGCAATGCGCCAATTCGAGCGATGGCCGGCCACGGCTTCCGCCGGGCATCACGCGAAGGCTTGAAACTATAGTACTTGAATTCAAGGTTCACAGCCAGCAGAGGCGATCTCACGACCGCGGCTTCCGCCGGGCTTGCAAATTGCACTCAATGTTGATGCCATGCATGATGTCAAAATGAGTATGAGACAACATCACTTACAAGGGAAATAAATTAACCTCACTTAATGTCATGATTTGAAATGGCAATCGCATGTTGCGCTCTGAAATTGGAAACACGGTCCTGCTCGTTGAGCTCACTATTCACCAGCCCCAATGCCTCTGCTGACGCCAGTCCGGCGGGCTCGCAGCAATCCGCTCCGCCGAGCGCAGTCTGACCTCACTCCCTTCGGGCTTCTTCGCCATTGCTTTGGAAGCAGCCAAGGGCGCTACCGCGTCCTTTGCCGAAGACCTGCCAAGCGCGGAGCGAAGATCATCTCCACTCGCCTCTCTCGCCGCCGCACCTGGCCTGCTGTCAACATCGTCGGGTCTCTTTGATGCCTCCCGCTTCGTTGATTCCTTTGCAGGCACCTCCGGATCCCAACGAGATTTTCTTTCCCTCTTTTGCTTTTCAGCCGAGCCCCGACTATCGCCGGGAGCATCGTCTCCGCTCCCCTTCTCCTTCTTGACCTCAACCTTCGGGTCAGCTCGCTTCGTCTCCTCGGACTCAGCCCTCGGAGCCTGAGCGCTCTTCGGCTCAGGAACTGGAGTTGCCTT